AGGAAATTTATTATTTCTTAAATAACAAGACTATGAAAACATAGATTTGAAGAATGCCCCAAAGCAAGAGAAAGATCTCCTAAAAGGAGGTGTTATTTTCCCGACTCTCACCTTCTCTATGTGAAAGTACACCTTGGCCAGTGCATCTGCTTATCAGAGTGAAGATCCATCATATTCTTTAGGGAGCCAACTCTGTCTTTGTAAGCATGGGTAGAAAGGTGAAAGAAATTTTTTTGTTCACATGTTAACAAGTGTCTGCATACTCCTGAGAATGTTCTACAGATTGAGTTTAATTTGGAGTAAATTGCAGGCATTGAAGGGATTTGACTTCAGACATGAAGTTCTGTCCCTACCACAATCATAAATTATGTACATGTCTATACAACTAGTTGATCAACTGACTAATACCTTCTTCATGGCAGATTCACTTGCCTATCTAGCCAGAAAAATGACTTTCATAGGGAAGGCACACAATTAAGGTTTGTTGAGTAATTAAACAAATCTAGTATAAGGATCATGGAATATGTCTTCCTGGGAAGAAATCTGAAGATTTTGAGGATACAGATGATCTTTTCATGTCTTCTCCCAGTACAAGGCCATTGTTTTGGATAGTTAAGGAATATGTAATGTGAAAGAACAAAAACCTGTCTTTAATCATATATTTATTCTGGCCCATGGTAGATAATTTTAGACAAATTTCCAATGGATTAATGATAGAGTTCTTCCTAGAACATCAGGAAGAGTATAATTTTCAATAGACTCGCTGATTTGATTTAAAAGAACACTTGAGAAAGATAAATAATCCCAATCAATATTATAAAAAATGGAAAATATTAAATTTAAAAAATACAAGCTATATTGACTATTGGAGTCATGAAAGAAAACATGAACAAGTTGTGTGACCTAGCAAAAATTGTGAAATTTAGTCAAGAGTACACAGCAATTCTAAGGAAAAATCAGAGGAGAGAATCAGGGCATAAAATACTGAATATTTTGACACATATGTAAGTGTGTGTGTGTGTATGCATATAAATACACATACAAATTACCATATACATAGTCACATATGCACATGTTCCAATCAACTATCGTTTATATGGTTTGTTTATAATTATATTTATAAGTGAACATGTAAATGGTTTGTATCTAAAAATGCTAAAATGAAGTAATATTGGTATTGGTATATTGATTACATTAGACTTACAATTATGTAGATGACTAAATCCTTGTTTAAAAGAAACATTTAATTTGTAGCATTTGATGTTAAGAAAGTGTGTTTGTGTATGTGTGAATGTACGGTGTGGCCAAAATGAAGTTGTATCTTAAACTTTTTGATTTTCCATAGGATGGTCCAATAATAAAGTTAATAATAAGGAATAAAGAATAACATTGCTTATTATATTCCAGTAATCTATATGATATCTGATGTTTTTACTTTCATTGTCTGTCATGAAGGTGAGGAAGTAGAATGTAAGTTCTATTGTTTTGTATAAGAACTTATACATAAAGTAGAAGTTGTGTTAACCTTGAGAGAAAATATTTTTATATTAGAATTTTAAATAGTCATATGAATGTATAGCCAAATATGATCTCCTTATAATTCTAGTCAGTAGGGTTCAGAGATACATGAGTATAATTCCATGTTCAGGAACTCTAAAGATGAGTACAGTTTAAAAGAATCCAAGATTAAAGAAATAATTTTGATTTACAATTTAAAATAGCCCCAGTGAGCAAGGCAAGAGATACAGAACATTACCAGTGTATCCACGTGTTATCCACACCTAAAAAGTCTTCTATACTAAAGAGACAGAATAAAAAGTTTATTGGCAAGGATGAGTTCAAATGAATTATGCATTTGTGACAGCAATGCTAAAACTAGTGGCCAAAGTCTTAATATTCACAGAAAAGTTATCAGGTAATAAAAAGCCTGGCAAATAAAATTTAGAGCAAGAAGAGAAATAAACCTGTTGTCTTTAGGAAGATGTGTTGGTAGGATGAAAAAAAAATTACTGATATTGTTGTTCTACTGTGCTATCTCAGAGAACACTTTCTATAGAAGAACATATAGTTCATATATGTTTTAAGAACTGAATGAAAAAGGCTATTCTAATGGGGAGAAGACTAGAAATCATGAAAAATAAGAACTGAAGAGGCTTAAATGGAAAAGGTAAAATTTGAGGATGGCATTATAGTTGAAGATTTTCAACATTTGGAAGACCAAGCTAGCAAAAATTTAGTCGTTTTACTTATAATGATATAATAGACTACCAAGTAAGCAAAATTTTGACTGTGTAAAGGCAGTGATTTATGAGGATCAGAAAATATTTGCAATTAAACTAGTATGATCTCCACCAAAAGTCTTTCATTTGATTTGTCAACAGACAGCAAAATATTCCTTCCATAGAAGCCAACTTGTGTGCTAAGATCCCTTTCATTTCTTTTATTTGAAGATATCATGAGGTTAGATGATATCACAATGACTGGTCAGTCTGGGAAACAAAGCTAGAGATAACAGTTTAATTAACTGGACTCAAGTCAAACACATGAAATGGAATGTGAATCTAGACAATCAATCTTAGACTCCAATTTTCAGAACTGAGTAACAGAAGATGATGCAGAAAGACCAGCAATGGCAGAAGTCAAAGTGGCTTTAAGAACTTTCGATGAATTGTGATGTTTAAGAAGGGATTTCTATCATCTTTCATAGCACGTATGGAACGTTAAGTGTTAATGCTGTTTGGTAAAGATGGATAAAATGGACTGGGAGTATTTTATTTCATCAGGTCCAGGGACTGATGCAAATATTAGAGACTTACATTTTGATGTTTTCTGAGACAGATTTAATGAAAATTACAATAAATCAAGGAATAAAATGAGAAATGATAAAGCAAATATAACACATAATTTTTGCAAACTATGTGTGCTATACTAATGCCTGGAGAAGCTAGTTTTACCAAGTATACTCCAATAGTTAACAATTGTTTTGTATTTTGTATATTAAGCAATTTACAGACATTATTAGTTTTTATCTCTATGAAGCAGAAATGCCTATTTTACAAATGATAAAACTGAGACTTAAAAGAGGTCAAATAATTTGTCCAAGAACAAGGCTAAAAAGTAGTATAACCAGAATCCAGTAATCTGTAGGTGACAGTGGTGTGTATTATTGATGTTGGAAACCAAAGTACTCTGAATTATAGCTCTGTGAAACAAAGAAATAGAAACTGACTCAAGACTGCCCGAGTGCCTTTTGGAAGGTTGGCAGTAAATGTGGCACCAAACTCTGGATGCAATCAAATGTTTGGTACTGTCCAACTTCCCATATGGTTGGGAGGTCTGGATCTGTCACAGATGTCCCCGGCAGCTTCCCGCATCACCTGCAAGACATATGTGACATAAATGGGGAAGCACGATTACTAAAAGTGTGCCCCCAGCTGAGCCTGTAACTGGGAAGCTAAGATCAGCACAGCAGCAAGCATGGGAACTGGGCAAACGTGGGGGATGGTTCACTTTAAGACCCTGAGTCAGCTGTTCAACAGTGCTCTGAAATGGGGGCACTATGAGTAGGCAGGGCTGGCAAAAGAAAAGCTCCAAGGACACTTTGAATCACAACTTCTAACAATGTGGCATGGCTGTGCAAACAACATCAGACAGGCCAAACTTACATGCAAAAAATCAAAGACTGAGTGACTCATTTTGGGCAAATGTGTCTGGCAACCTAAAGAAGGGAAGGCAGGGCTGCAAGTACAATATGCTCTACAGACAGAGGAGAGAGTCCCAGCCCAAAGACAGTTTCCATGTGTACAAAGTGTGGAAAATCTGAGACATGCACTGGGCTCTTCAGCCACATTCTCACCCTTGGAAAGCAATCAGCCAGCAGAAAAATCTCCAATTTAAATGACAGCAAAATGTATGCTTGGAGTTATCTGACCAAATTAGCAACGTGAGATATTCTAGGGACTTAATTTGCACATTGAGTTTTAATAGTATTATATTTGTATAGCAGATTATATAACCAAAAATGTTAATGGGAAAATGATTTTATTTGACTGGGAAATTGGCACCCCAGCTAATTGTCTGAAAAGGAGCCAATTTTAAAAATTCAGATGCTGTTTGAATGAACTGATATTGGCTGAATTAGGATTTATTGTGTAAAATACAGTTTTTAAAAATAGCCTAAGGCAGGGAAAAAGGGCTCAGTGAACTAAGTTTGTGTACTTCATTGTGTTCTCAGATGGATTTCAAAATGGCTCAAATAAGACCATCAGAGAAGACTATTGGGGTGAGACTGTGGAATAGAAGGTGCATGAATGGTCTGAAATTATATGCAAGACGAATGTGTATGTGGTCATGGTAAATGGTAGGATGGTTTGTCATCTGTGTACCATTTAGCCAGGGAGCGAATCTCCACTAAAATATTCAATCACCTTTTTGTAAGTGATTTGGAGTTCTGTGTACTTATGTCATGTAGATTAGGACTAACTGCCACGTGTTTCAGAGTGGCTGTGTTTATTCTGTGGCTATTAGGATGCTTGAAACATTAAGAAAATTTAGCTTGCAATTAATGCGTGCTATTTTTCTAATAATGAAATTAGCTGTAACTAATAAGACATGAGTGGCTTATTTTCATTGAAGTTTTGAAAAAACTGAACTTTTTAGTTGTTTTAAAAATATTGTTATAAATATTTTCTCAATCAGTTGTAAATATGATGGCAAACCCCTTTCTCCTAAAGAAAGATCTTGTAAATAATGGTTGAAGTTGCCCTCTTCATTTGTTAGTGTAGAGTCTGTTCTTATTACATGCCTTTGAGTACAGAAAACACAAAGTTTCCCTAGAAAGCCAGGCCTTTTCTTCTCTACCCCACCCCCTACCAGCCCTACTTTTTAAGATGTCTTCAAGATGCCATAGACCAACTGTGAGTGTTAAATGAATATCTTTGACAGGAGCTAAGTCTTTTGGGCATTGAAATAAGGTTTTCCTCCTCTTTTGGCATGTGAAGATTGAGAGTATGCTTTGACACCAGTAGCAGAGGATGTGAGCAAAGCAACTTTCAGGCATCAGAAGTGTCAGCAGAAGGAAAAATCAGCACAAGTAGAATGCATCAAGGTAATTTTCCCACCTACAGGATTTTATGAAGTCAGTCAGCTCATTGCCACTCTTGGCTGATGGGGCCTCATTCTTTGTTGCTAAATGCCACATAAACTATCTGTCAGCCTCTAGGACTGTTCAGTTCTTTTACACAGGAAGAAATATAAAGATGGAAACAAAAGCAGCAACGTATTCAGCTCAAGTAAAATCTTTAAAAATAGCACTTCATTTTTCATTCATAAATATCTATTTGGGGGAATATCCCCCAGATATTACACAGCCAGAATATCTACTATGTTTGGTGGCATTTCTTAAAGAGATGAAACAAGCCATTTCTATGGGAAGAAGGGTTTTCTGTTTATCCAGTGCTTTAATTTTAGATTTGGAACTGAAAAATATGATTAGACTGTACAGTTTTAACATATTAAACATTTCATTGCTAATGCTAATGTTTCTTAAAATTTTGTTAATATACAAAAATAAGAGTGTAGCTATTATACATGTAGAACTGGTGATATTTTTTACATAGCACATATCCTTGTAACCAAGACCCAGACTGAAGAATAGAAAATTACTCATGATAAATTTTTCAATGGCTGATATTTTTCAAATGCTTCCATTTCTGTGACTTATCAAACATTGGGAAAAATGTCACTTCCTTATAATGGCAATGCCTGTACTCAAACTTTATTTTCTCAGTATATTCCTTAGTAGCTTCATCAAATAATTTTCATTAATGTTTAATTCATTGCACATAGCAACCTGTATAACTATAGGAAAGGACATAAATTAGCATTGCAGAATATGAACATTTGCTACATGGCAAAACTGTTCTTTTTGGCAACCAATTTGCATTTTTAAAGCCACAAGCACCCTGCATAACAGAATTCAAAACAGGAACAGAAAAATGGGAGGAAGGTACTGTGACTAAATGAAGGAGGGCTGAGGGGTTAAAATCATTGCTGCTTGATTTCACCACTGCTGCCCCATATTCATATCTCAGTAAATGAATGAGGATAGCCCCATGTGGGATTACAAACTTGCTGGGAATGGATAAGAAACCTTCTGCTCTGCTGGAGTTTGTAAGTAGTTTCTAAGAACTGATTTCTGCAGAAGTGAAAATGATTGGATTGTTTTATTTTTCTTCTGGCAAGAAATGTTTTCATCTCTGCATATATGATTCTCCCTGTTCTCTTTGGTTGGTTTAATGACAAAATTTTCTACAAGATCCAGACATCAGTTATCTCTTCTGTGAAGCCTTTCTGATTACCCTGCTTTGGGCCCCTACCCCTTCTTAGAGCATGAGGTGTTGTCCTCCTTAATAACTTGTACAATAGCTCAAAGCTTCTAATAGTAACTCTTCTACTCTCTGCTATGCACTCATCTACTAGGTTGTAAGTTTCTAGAGTACAGACTGTATGTTTCCCACTTTCTATATTACTGCCCCATGCTTCTTTACTTATACCTTCAATGCTTCTACTCTGCATGTAAATAGAAACTCAGTCCATGTGTGAGAGGCCAGAGGTAGACATAGGTGAGGGTGAGACTACTACAGATGACCATCAACTTGAATTCCCTTACCTTTAGCAAAGTTGTTTCTTCAGATTCACCTAATGTTTAGCCAGCACCCACTGCTGAGCCAGGCATGAGCAACCACCCACCTAGACTGTCTTGTGAGACATCAGAATGAAAGATGAAGGACAGAATTTGAGATTAAAATATCTTCTAAAAAACTGGTATTCTAGAAAAAAATAATTGTCCAAATCTTATAAGGAAAGAGTAAAATGAAAGCCCATGTTAATGAAGAAATGATTTTTTTTTCTTATTTTAAAACAAAAAGTAAGGAAAAATAATACAAACTTCAAAAGATGAGAAAAAGAAAGGACATCACTGAAATCCATTGTTTTCCTTGGAGCCCTGGGTAGCCTCCATCTTATTCTCCTTCAGATCAGTTAGAGAGGTGCTTTTGCCTTTTCTCTATATTCTGCATCTCAAAATGGTGTCTCCTTAAAGAAAGAACCTTAAATAATAGATCATTATTCTCAGATTATCTGTGAGGTTAAATATAATTTTGATAGCTTTGTTGGTTTGACAATTTGGACTACCATTTCCCCCCATTATTTTCATCTGAAATATCTTTCCTCAAATTTTTCAGATACTATGGTTTGCTTTGCAACTAGAGATATGAGGATCTTCCATCACGTGGATTCAGTGTGATCTTATCAGGGAATGAATTGCTGGTTACAAGAAATCAAATGCTTCATTTTTACTTTACCATTCGTATAATGTAATAATACCAAAATATTCTAAAAAGCATATGTAAAAGTGAATAACATAGTTAGAAATTATAAGGAGGTTCAGAACACAGAGATTGATAATGAATATCCAGCAAGCATAATTTATTGCTATAGAAATAATAGTATTAAGCAGAATTAGGCCCGCCATTCATAATTTTAAAAAGACACTGTTATTCAAATTATCTGCGATTAAAAGAACTTTAAATATCCTTTCTATTATCTTGATTTTAATGTTCTTTTTTCCTAGAAAGTATACACAATGCAAGTTTTCACCATCTCACAGGAGTTTACATTAATAAGATTTGAAAGCAAATAAACAGTCACTATTATTGACCTTTTCATAGTGGTCAAAATTTGGAGGTAATAAGCCATGTTTAAATCTTTACAGCAATTGAAGTAACGAAGGAGAATCACATTAGGACACTTTCACTTATGTAGTTACATTTGTTGATTTTAAATCACTTATTTTGCCAAAAGGAGAAAAAATAGGAGAGATACTTGCAAGCACACAGAGGCAATAGAGTAACGTGTTTCCATAACTAATCATCTTTCTTAGGTATTTGCTCCTCATAGGAACCCATAGAGATGTTTGAAAAGGTGGAATTAAATTAGGCCAGATTAAGGAGTGAGTATCACTTTCAAGAGGTCGTTGTTGTTGATAAATTACTGTTTTGTCTGAGAATCTCATTATAGAATATGTTACTTAAATTGTTGAGCTTTTTATTTAACTTATGTCACTTTCAAACTTGGGAGTTGTTATACCTGCTTTTGGACATTACTAACACTCATAAGGTTTTTCTGGGAGCCACATCCTCCATGCTTTTTCACCCTCCCTGTTGTGCCTCCCCTTTCCTTGAAATGTTTCTTTTGTTTGTCTCCATTACACCAGCAAGCAGGGACACAGTGTTTCTGCACAGTGGGAGTTGGCAATCTCCGAAGAGGCTTTCCAGCATTGCTTTTTAGACTGAAATCATTACAATCTTCAATAGCTACTTGGATTAAAAAAGAAAGAATGAAACTAGCACATTATTATTCTCAAAACCATCTCAATGTATAAAGAGGCTATTTGCTTGGTCCTCCCACAGCTCTCCCTTCCCTCCCTCCTCCTCCAACCCCTGCTCATCCTGCTCCTTGTCTCTCTCTGGATGTGTTTCCTTCACACTCAAGTTTAGTTTGTATGGTCCTGATTCACTAATTCAATCCAAAATGAATGTACAAATGCATTTTTTCCCTGTTGCTTCTGAATATTTTTACACTGTTTATGTAAAGGATTATAGTCAGATATATCTTACATTCACTCATACTTAAACTATTACCTTTGAGAATGTGAACTATACCAGCAGTGACCCAAGATAATATTTTCAAACCTAGAAGTTATTAACATGAATTAATGAGGAAGTTGCTTTAGTTATAAACCTGCAATTTTTAACAAGGTGGGACTTCTTATTTATTGTTATCAATGTATCAAACATGCCTGCTTTTCACCAGTGGTGTGGCATTTGTTTATGCACATACCCATGAGTGACCCTAAGTGCACAGTGGAAACTCAGGGTATAAGGAGCTGTTTGCAATGCCTTCACCCTGTGAAAGGGATTAGTGTATTCCAACACATAATATTTCCAACAGAGGTTTGTATAGTGTCGTCATAGGATTTATTTGTTCTCTTCGGTGAGTATAACTATAAATAATGAAAAGGAATGGCATGAATAAAGGGGAGAGTAATTTATGCACTTTATCAAAGCAGTGCAACCAATTTATATCCTGTGCCCCATCCAGATGAATGCATATTCAAATAAAATCAAAATAATATAATGTTTTTCATTGTTAGGTAAATGAAAAAATGTACTAAAAAAGAAAATATAAGAAACATGCAATAATTTGTTATCAATATTTTTTTTATTCTGTTGTCTTTTAAAATAAGTATTCCACTAAATGGCATTAGGTGTATGTGATCTAATTTGAAGTTACTATGTTGCCGTGACAAGCTACAGAGTTTCCCAGATGATATCAGTAATGCTGCTCCATTATTGCTTCTTTAGTCATCAGACGTCACATACAGTAATCAGCAGAGAATTAGTAGTATTTTACTCTTTGCTCATACTACTTCTTATTCATAGTGTACATTGTGCCAGATTACAAATAAGTGATGACATTTTTTAGCTGTAAAATCAATGGATTTCACTCTTAGACTTTAATTTTACATCTTGGTTTTTTATTTGTCAGAAACAAATGCACGTTTATCTAAAATCAGGTTCTTAAAGTGTACCTCGCAAATAACAACAGAACTTAGGCTTTTCAAACATATTTATAATTCAAGGACTAAATTAAATGGAATTTTTCCACTGAAGCATTTTTGAGTTATCTTGGACATAGTTCTAACTTCTTGTAGAAATTGTGGTCCAGAGTTTGTACATTTCTCATGGTGCATATTAAAATGTTTTTTGGATCATAAGTATTTGTAGCATCTCCCCTCTCTTATTTCTTAATTTCTTAATTCTTAATTCTTAATTTCTTAATGTCCTTTTTCATTTCAAGCTCCTCTAAACTCCTTGCTCAGTAATTTGCACTCTGATACTCATTGAACATATGACTAAAATTATAGAAAATGACTGTGGTTTAGGATTTATTCTGTGTCCACTTAATTACCTGTGTCTATATATCCATTAAGAAAAATAGCAATCATGGCATTTATCATAAAAGACTGATATGGGAATAAATCAG